CCAAGCAAGAAGGAAGACCCTGGGTAAGACAATCAATCCTCACTCAGAAAGACAAACAGGATGGACATTATAAGAAGGAGAAAACAGGAAACACAACAGGAGCCTACCACAAAGGGCCTCTGAAAGGCTCTACCCAGCAGGGTATCAAAGCAGATGCTGAGACTCATAACCAAACTTTGGGCAGAGTGCAGGGAATCTTATGAAAGAAGAGGGAGACCTGGAGAGGACAGGAACTCCACAAGGAGAGCAACAGAACCAATATATCTGGGTACAGGGGTCTTTTCTGAGACTTATACTACAACCAAGGACCATTTATGGATATATAACCCAGAACCCCTGCTCAGACGTAGCCCAGTATCCAAGTGAGTTCCCTGGTAATGGGAACAGGGACTGTCTCTGACATGAATTCAGTGGCTGGCTCTTTGACTACCTACCCCTGAGGGGGAAGCAGCCTTGCCAGGCCACAGAGGAGAACAATGCAGCCAGTCCTGATGAGACCTGATAAGCTAGGGTCATATAGAAGGAGAGGAAGACCTCCCCTATCTGTAGACTTGGAGAGGGGAATGGGAGAAGATGAGGGAGGAAGGGTGGGATTGGGATGGAATGAGGGAGGGGGCTACAGCTGGGATACAAAGTGAATAAACTGTAACTGATATAAAAAATAAATTAAAAAATAAAATAAAATACATAGTGTATTTTAGGTTGTTCTCTCTTTCTCCCCTTCTGTTTCCCTCCCTTCTTTTTTTCTTTCTCCCTCCCTCCCTCTTTCTGTTCTAGAGTCAAATGGCATTTTTAACATAGGACAGAGATTTAAGGAAACCTTTAAACATGTATGCTTGAGTCTTGAGTCAGGAGAGGAAAGGCCATAACCCAACTCTAGAGCCAGCTTTTTAATATTGCACAGTAGCATATAACAATATTACCTATAATACTCAAAAGATATTTGAATTGGTGCAAAACTAGATCAAGTGACTAGAGGGAGGGATCAGATCAAACAGCGAACAAACGCAAGCTCAGAGATAAAAGGTTTTGCAGGACTTAAACAGCAGGCTTGATTGAGCCAATAAGAAGGACAGAGACTGAGCAAGCTCCAGGATCAAGCTGGGGCACAACACTGCAACAAAAACAAATACAAACAGTAATAACAACCAGACAAGCAATGGCTAGCCATCATGTTCTCATTCACCCAACAGAGCAAGCAGACAACAGACAGTGTCCCAGGGTGGGGAGTCACCTTACCAGAATGTCAACAGTGTCCCCTGTTAAGATTTAACCTGGGCCTCAGACAACATCTAATCACCCAGAGCTTACCCAGAAGAGTGCACTCAGCAAATTCAGAAGACCAAACCATCTAAAAGGCTCAGAGAGTTGAATTAGGGCATCCTTCTCAGGGAGAGAACAGATCCTGAATGAGACCCCAGAGGTTGTAGTGAGGCTGTTTCCACCCAAGAGAAGACCAGGATGAACTCTATAAATTCAAGTTTGTATCTAGCCAGACAGACTCAGCCTGAGGCCCTGAGCTGAGTGAGCAAGGGGTTTATAAAGGGAAACACTGCAAGAATGGTATATCCATCAGCATGGTGGTGCATGTAAGCACAAATGACAGCATAGGAACTTTTAATAAGAATAGGTCATAGCTTTGTCACCATAGTGTTTCTGTTCGATCAGGGAGCAGAAAACCTTGTGGTTTCAGGAAGAGCACAATGAAGGTTAGCAAAAGTTCCTGTAAGTACATTACATGCCTGACAGTCAACCTGACCTGTTTTAGCCTGAGGTTGGGTCAGGTTTTGTCAAATATGTTTTGTTGTGTTTTTTTTTTTCCACTTCACAAGTACTTTGATAGGAGTGTTTATTTGGAACAGTTTTCTGGAGGAGACTTTAGGCTTCCTAAGTAAAGGAGCATGTCATCTATTCATAGAAATAATCTGACTCCTTACACTCTTATTTGTATCTCTTTTATTTCTTTCCCAGTTTTGTTTTGACTAAGACATTGAACACTACTGTAACCACCATTTGCTCTCTTTCTTCCACCCTTCTCTAACCCTTTTTTTCCACCCCTTTCTTCCACCTTTTCAACCCCCTACCACTAGATCAGAGAGAGAAAAGGATAGCTAGGAAAGGAAAGAGATCTGTGTAGAAAGTCAAAGATCAGAAAGGAGGTGACAGTACATTACTTCCTGCTGATTAGGAGCATCAGGTTCCTTGGGGCTATAAAGATGGTGTAGATCCCTTGGAGGTCCAGTTACAGATGTCTGTGAGCCACTGATAGAGGTGATGACAACTAATTAGGGAGCTCCGGAAGGACAAGAACTCTTTTAACTGCTGAGTCATCCCTACAGCCCTCTCATTCTAGTTTTATTAATCTTAGTCTCTTTCTCTTTCTTTTCGGTTAGGTTGGCTAAGATTTTTCAGTCTTACGGTTTTGTTTCCTTTTTTTTTTTTTTAATGCCCTCTTTGCTTGATTTAATCTTTATATTTTTCTTTTAATCTCCATCTCATTAATTTCATTCCTGATCATATTATTTCCTGTCATCTACTGTTTTTGTGTTTGGATTGTTCTTGTTTTTCTACGACCATGAAAGGTATCATTAGGCTATTTATTTAAGTTTTTTTTTTCACAGTCCCGTGTGTGTGTGTGTGTGTGTGTGTGTGTGAGAGAGAGAGAGAGAGAGAGAGAGAGAGAGAGAGAATGTGTGCATGTACGTACGTATGCCAGGGTGCATGTGGAGATCAGAGAAAAACATTCAGAAACTGATTGTTTCTTTCTACCATGTAGGATGCAGTTCACCATGTTCAGTGTCAAGCACCTTTATCTATTGAGCCAGTTCACTAGCCCCAGATTTTTTAATGTAAACAGTCATAGCTATAAACTTTCTTTGTAGATCTGCTTTAGGTATACCCAAAGGCTCTGGGAAGTTTTGCTTTTGCTTTCATTTGACTCTAGGAACTTTTTTTCTGCCTGTTTTCGCAATGACCCACTGCAACTTGCCTGGAAACAAACTGGCCTTCAGAAATTAATAGATATTTCACCAGAAGCAATGCTAGATAGTCTTATGTGGGTCTATACCATCAGACCCTCAGGTCCAGAACGAAGCCCACAGTCCCTTTTCCTTCCTGCTAGTGTAATACTTCAAGACCTACATGTAAACACTTAAATATTTTAAAGATTATGCTAGGCAGTGGTGGCACACGTGTTTAATCCCACTACTCAGGGAAGCAGAGGCAGGCAGATCTTTGAGTTCAATGCCAGCCTGATCTACACAGTGAGTTCCAACACAACCAGGGCTACACAGAAAAACTCTGTCTCGAAAAAAATCTTAAGATTATTTTTTCTTTTTGATGCTTAGTTATAAATTCTAAAATCATAAATACTTTTATTACATCACAGGAGTATGATATGTAAAGATATTGGGGATAATGAGAGTCAGCTTGTTTGTTGTGAGGAAGTCCAAATACAAAAAGGGAAAGGCTAGAAAGGCTATGTTTTTAGATGGAAACAAGTTCAGACCCCAAGTTAGTGATAGTGAGCCTTAACTATTTATTTCTAGGTATGTCCTGAGATGTTGTGGAAGTAAGGATACTATCACATCTACCTACAGAAAATAGGGAGTTTTAAAAGCATGGCTAGTGCCAAGCTGTAGTGGTGAGAGTGGCAACAGATGATGTGACATCCAAAGAACACAGGGACTCCAAAGAATAACCTCGGGGGTAAGTTAAGCTTTAAGAATAAGTAATGAAAGTAATAGATTAACATTTTAAGGAAAAATAAATGCATGGAGCTGACAAATACATAAATGAGAATGAAGCTAAAATTCTCTTTTAAAATGTTTTTAAAGTGTCAAAAAACAAGCATCACAGAAAAGATGAAGCCAGAAAACCAACATTTGATAAATATAACACTAAAACATTCAAATATCATTGTAGATGATAAAACCAGCAGCTGAAGAAAAACTCTTTAGTGAGAGTTTGACACAAATTAGGGCAACTGCTTAGTTTTAAAGCACCTCTCCAAAAATACCTATAAATTTAAATTTATACCATCACTTTGTATCAGCAGTTACGTGAAAAATAGGCATGTTATTTCTCTTTATGTAATCCACTGAGAACTCCTGCCATAATCTAGATATAGCACATTTTATGTCTAGATTATGGTTACATTCATGTTTATCTTTATTACTGTACTGTGTTTGACAGTATTTATAAATTACAATATTTTTAAAGTTGTTAACAATTCAAAGTATCTAATACTCTCAAACTCACCAGCATGCAGATGCTCACAAATGAGATGGTTTCTGAAGGTAACTGATCCTAAGCCCAAAGGCATAAAAATAGTGTTTTGGAAGTGAAAGTAGTAAAATCCTGAAAAGACTGATTCTTTGCCTAAGTCATCCCTTCAGGCTTTCCTTAATTCTTACTTTCATTTCTGCCATTTTCCTCACTGTTATTCTTTCTCCTAGATCTAAAACTATAGAGTACTATGTACTTCTGTCTTGGAATTCAGTAAAACCATACTTACTATTTACACTCATTATATATATTTATGGATAAATCATATACTTTGACTGGTGAATAAAACTTTGACAACTTACTGTTCTGAAAGTTAAGATATCCATGAATGGACCTGATAAATTATGTTTGGTATTTCAATCAAAAAGCTCTGTTTATCTTTTAAACTAATTTGTAGAATAACTGATACATTCTCAAATCAAATTCTTTTATAAATACAGTGTTCATGATCCTCCTTTAAAGATCAGGGAAAGACTGGCCATGAGGTTGAGCTCTAGCTTCCAAGCCTAAAACTAAAAAGCTTTTCAATCATTTCTTCTGTTCTTTTCTGCCAGCTAGACGGCAGGCATATATACAGGAATTCAAATTCTTCAGTATGCAGCCACTAAAACTCAGTGTTCTAATCATTACTTATAGCTAATGATGCATGCATGATGCATTTACAACAGTAAGTAGTCTCTTCCAACTACCATCACCAAATGTGTCATACTTACAAATTGAGGATTGTAGTATGCTGGGCCTATTGTGTCATCACTAGAAGGTGGCGTGCGTTGCATAATACTGTCATCGTCATTGAGGTGATAGCCATGCGACTTTCCGGAAGAGGGAATTGAAGGAACATAAATGCTTCTGGAAACTGCACGTGTTCTAGAAATTTTCTTTAAGCATAAAATGTTTGTGAGGAAGACATTTTATGTTATTCAAAGACAAGAAGAAAGAGAACAAGAACAAATATTATAATATGCTAACGGTCATCATTAAATATTGACTTAATGAATCATATAATAGAAACCAAAAAAGGTCTTATAAAACTAAATTGAAGGAGTGAATTCAAGTTTTAACACATCTTCCAGACTACTAAAGCCACTAAGAGCTAAGGATTGACTCTCAACTTGGCCGCCACTTCTCCCACTTAGTAAAGCAAACTACTGATTTGAAAGATACATAAACAAACACAGAATTCCTGCAGCGACGTCAGACACCTTGAGAGTGTGTGCTGCACAGCACAATCTTCAGTTCTTTCCTTTAGTCCATTTAGCAACATTGCTGGCCTTCATTCCCTGAAACTATTGACTGGTCTGTATATTACCTGTAACGTGTAACATGTGCTAACTGCAGACTACACAGCAGGAAAATGTCGATGAGATAAAGACAAAATGAAGGGAAATGTATCAAACTCATGTATAAATATGACATGTATTAGATGTAAATATAGTGATAAATACAGTAATAAAAGGTATGCTTTAATTCTGAAAGAACTATGGCAAAACTGACAATATCAGGTCAGAAGCATTGGTTAGCCTTTTTGAAAAGGTTTTACTTCTGTGGAAAATATTTTATAAATTAAGTAAAAACAACAGGTAATAGCATATATCAGACAAAATCAATTTATATCAAACAAAACATTAACAATTACTGTTTTTAGTTGTGTAGAAAAATAATGTAGGATTATACTGACCCCTGCATCTTCTGGACAAATAAATAAATATAATGGTGTGTGCGCACCACTTTAACAGCTGTGCTGTTAGAAAGCTGCCACTGATCTAAGTGCTTTTCCAGTAGGTACATTAATTAAGTAGCTTAAGCAGCACTTATGAAAATAATTTAAAAATGAAAACAAGACTGCGTTGAACAGCTTTCCTTCTGTGTAGTACTTTCAAAAAGGATGCATCAAAGGTTTGCAAAAACTAGCCTTTCCTTCCTCAAGCTTCAAATCATGTTACTCTCACTTAAATCATCCCTAAGGATGCCATGTTAACACACACTGCAGTGCTGTTACTCAGGAGTTTTCCTACAACTACAATGCGTTTGAGCACCATGTGAATGCTTCTTTAAGACCAAACCATATCATTTCTCCTATTCCCTCCAAAGACTCTCATTTTGGGACACTTGTGAATTTTTCATTATGGCTCTGAGGCAGTATTTCATCAGCTATATTGTCTCAAATTTTGCTCCCTGTTAAAACCATGATTCTCGGGGAGACATGATTTGCCTTCTTTGTATAAAAAATGTTTAGTATTGTGCTGACACACACGTGTATTCATCAGTGTTCAACAATGTGTAAATAAACATTTATTTTGTCCCTACACATGAAATACATCTGATATCTAAATACATGACATAAAACTCAGCTTCTCTACAATAAAAATATTTCAACTAAGAGCTTAATCCTAGAATATGAAGTGTTCTTTTTAATATAACTGTTTAAAATAGAATTAATTTGAGGCATCTGAAATACTTCACATAAAAAAAATATGATCACTCTATATAAAGCATGACGAAATCCATATTTATGTTATTTACTTCAATGGTATAAAGCTTTGGTATAAAAATAACTGATTCTATAACATGAATATACTTTTCCAAATGTAGTATCTAAGACTCTCTTATATAAATTCTTTTCTCCAAATAAAATAATCTTCCTTTTGCCTCCCATAAAAATTCCACTTTTATCTTATGAAAGAAGGGGGAGATGAAAGACCTGTAGGGGACAGGAGCTCCACAAGGAGAACAACAGAACCAAAAAATCTGGGCCCAGGGGTCTTTTCTGAGACTGATACTCCAACCAAGGACCATGCATGGAGATAAATTAAAACCCATGCACAGATGTAGCCGATGGCAGCTCAGTGTCCAAGTGGGTGTCCTAGTAAGGGGAACAGGGACTGTCTCTGACATGAACTCAATGGCTGGCTCTTTGATCACCTCCCCCTGACGGGGGAGCAGCCTTACCAAGCCACAGAGGAAGACAATGCAGCCAGTCTTGATGAGACCTGATAGGCTAGGGCAGATGGAAAGGGAGGAGGACTTCCCCTATTAGTGGACTGGAGGAGGAGTATGGAATTGGGAGGGGCTGAGGGAAAGAGCTACAACTGGGATACAAAATGAATAAATTATAATTAATTTTAAAAATTAATGAATTAAAAAAATTTGGAGAGCTGAAGAGATGGCTTAGAGGTTAAGAACACTGTTCTTCCAAAGTTCCTGAGTTCAATTCCTAGAAACTACATGGTGGCTCATAACCATCTATAGCATGATCTGGTGGCCTCTTCTAGTGTGCAGGCACATATACAGGCAGAATGCTGTATAAATATAAAAAAACATAAATCTTAAAAACAATAATTCATTTTGTATATTCACTCATCTACCACTGTACACCTAGAATGCATATTCCAATCCCACTCTTCAAAGCCATCTCCAAACTAACCTTCTCCATTAATACTCTAGGTCTTCTATAATGCAGTAGTCCTTTAAATCCCTAAGGCCTTTCATTGCGTGATCATTCATGTATCACTTTTCAAATTTTGTCTTTAAACAGCAACTACCTCTATGTCTTCCATATAAGTTTTTAGCCTTCTTCTTCAGGCATTCATGTTTTGTTCTGTGTGGTTCCACAGGTAAAACTCAGAGCCTCACACAGGCTAGGCAAATGCCCTCCAACACCAAGCTACACTTGCAGCCCAGAAATCCTGTTGACATCACTGTTTGTTAACAGGTATTTACACACAGACACTAAAACTAATACATAGATAAGCAGCTTTTTAACTCTCCCTGCTTCCTAGTTGTCACAGAAACTGTGGTTACAGAATCATCAAGAATAAAACAGGAACCCACAGATGTAGCTCAGGGGTAGGGAATTTACCTAGCACATAGAAGGCTCTGGGACAATCCCCAGGACCATAAAATAAAAAAGAATACAAATGAAGTACAATATTAATATAGTTAAAAACTAAAGCTTATAAAAATGATTTAATATTTACCTAATTATAAAATAACTACAATATGAATAGTAAGAATATTCAAAGTTTTACAGTAAAGATTTTTTTCTTAAAATTTTCAACATCAACAAATTGAATAAACTGTAATAAATGATAATAATAAGAAAAGAAAAAAACTTTTTCAACATCAAACACACTGCTTAAGATTTCTTTTTTACTTTATCTAGAATTGTCATTAGAAGCTTCTTTAAAAGTGACACACTGAAGAAGCATATCTTTCGCTTAGAGTACCTGTCTTCTCACAGTACACAATGTCCCAGGAGGAGGCTGATTGTAGCTTGCAGGTCCTGGACTATCCGAAGCAAACTTCTTAAACCGCTCCTCTTGGTATTGCAGACTATGGCCTCCTTTTATTTTATACTAAATTGGAGGTTAAAAAGTATAAAGTAATTCAAGAAGTATTTTATGATTACTATTTTATAAACTAAAATATTATCCACAGACTTAGAATGCACTCCGAGAAAGTTAAGACCCTTGACTGAAGGCAAGTTCTTCTAAGAGGACACTGTGCTAACAGTTGCAGTCCTCGGGGCTGACTCTAAGCTCAGACAAAAATGTACTGTACTACAGGGCAGTCTGGGCAGGGAAGGGGTCAAAGTCAGGATCTTCCAAACCTCCCAGTAGGTGAAAATAGACTGTGTTGCTGATCATTGGAAAAATGGATAGTTACGGACTGAATTTTCAGTTTATTTCAATTACAAGTCTGTCCTTCTATGCTAGTTTTTTGTTTGTTTGTTTGTTTTGTTCATTTTTGGTGTGGTATAAGTTTTTTTTGTTGTTGTTCATTTTATATCCCAATTGTAGCCCCTTTTTTTTATCTCCTCCTGGTCCCACCCTCCCTCCTTCTTCTCCCTATCCCTTTCTCCTCGTCCTTTGAAAGAGGAGTACTCCTCCCCTACCATCTGACCCTAGCTTATGAAGTCTCATCAAGACTGCCTGGATCCTCTTCCTCTGTGGCCTGGAAAGGCTATATTGCCAGGGGGAAGTGATCAAAGAGCAGGCAACTGAGTTCATGTCAGATACTGTCCCTGCTCCCCTTACTAAGAGACCCACATGTAGACTAAGCTGTCTATGGGCTACATCCGAGCAGCGGGTCTAGGTCCTCTCCATGCATGGACCTTGGTTGGTGCATCAGTCTTTGTAGACTCCCCAAGGCCCAAACTGTTTAGCTTTGTTGGTCTCCTTGTGGGTCAAATAGAAGGGGAGGAGGTCCTCCCCTATCAGGGGACTAGGAAAAGGGCATAGGGGGAGAAGAGGGGGGACAGGTCTGAGAGGAAATGAGGGAGGGGGCTGCAGCGGGGCTACAAAGTGAATAAACTGTAATAAATAAATATATAAATAAAATTAAATTTAAAAAAAAGAAAAAGAGATGGCTGTGGACAAACCCATTAAGCATTTTCTTCATTAGTGATTGATGGGGAGAGCCCAGGCCACTGTGGGTAGGGGGATATCTCTGGGCTAGTGATCCTGGATTTTGCAAGAAATCAGGATGAACAAGCCATAAGGAGCAAGCCAGTAAGCAGTTTCTCAACAGCCCGCCTTAGCTCCTGCATCCAGGTTCCTGTCCTTCAAAGATGAACAGTAATGTATAAGTTTAAGCCAAATAAACCCTTTCCTCCCTAAGTTGCTTTGGGTTATGGTGCTTTATCACAGCAACTGTAACCCAAAGACACAAAATGGACCGAGATAGTGGGGTAATTGCTGTGACAGACCTGATCTTATTGTTTTGGAGAGGATTGTGAAAGTACTTTAGAACTTTAGACTAGAAAAGCCATTGCATGGTAAAGCTTGGTGAGCTGTTATGTCAGAATGTGGATGGTGAGTGTTGAGAGAAATGCAGATGATGGTGACCTGGCTTGAGAAGTTTCAGAAGGAAGTTTGAGAGTCCCTTAAAAGATTCTATTGGGCCATTTGCTATTTTGAGTTAAAAATCTGTGCTTGTCGGCTGAAGCTGAAGCATCAGCTGTGGTCCACAAGAGGCCAGCATTACTGAAGTGAAGGTCTTGGTTTATTGGGAAAATTTATGCTGGTTAGCCAGAGCTGAGAAAATTAGTGGTGATTATGGAGAGACCAGCAAGCAGTGAGCTGCACTCTGTCCCCTGAGCTTCACTGTCCAGCCCATGGCACTGCCTGCCTTCTGGAGGAGTCTGCAGCATCAGGAGCAACTAGATTAGACCCCTCCCTACCAATGCCCCTAAAGCATACCCAACAATGGGAAACCACACCCACTCACCTGCACTCCATTTTCTGTCCCACAACTTTGCCTGCGCCCCTGGTAACCAGCCAGCACCATGACAACCACAGAATAAGAACACAATCAACAAAAGCCAGGGTAATATGGCACACCAAAGCCCAGCTATGCTACAACAAGCCCTGGATGTCCTAACACAGCTGAAGCACAAGAAGATGACCTTAAATCCAATCTTATAAAGATGACAGGGGCCTTTAAAGAGGAAATTAATAAGTCCCTTAAAGAAATGCAGGAAAGCCATTGCCACACCTCAGCTCTCTAACACTAGTGCAACCTCTCACTTGCCTAGCTCCAGCCGAAGAAGAAGGGATAAGTAAGGAGGTGCCCTTACCATGGCTTCTACATGATCAGACTGCCCTCAAACCCACTCGTGGTAAACCACCCAAAAACAACTGGCTACAAAAGCCGCTAGTAAGAGTGTGCCCTCTACTGGAGGGGTGAAGACACCTCATCCTTACAGGCCCAGTACTGTGGCACTCCGTGAAATCAGACACTTTCAGAAGGCCACTGAACTTCTGACTCACAAGTTCCCCTTCAGGTGCGAGAAATTGCTCAGGACTTCAAAACAGATCTGCACTTACAGAGTTCAGCTATTGGTGCTTTGCAGGAAGCAAGTGAGGCCTATCCGGCTGGCCTTTTTGAAGATAACAGCCTGTGTGCTATTCATGGCAAAGATGTAACTATTATGCCAAAAGATATCCAGCTAGCACACCGCATACGCAGAGAACGTGCCTAAGAGTCCACAATGAGAAAAAACATTTCATTCTCAAAAAAAAAAAAAAATTATTTTCCTCTTCTTCCTGTTATCAGCAGTTCTGAATGTTAGATATTTTTTCCATGGGGTCAAAAGTATATATTTTTAAAGTTTTCTTTTTTGCTGTTCCTATATGTTTGCTATTAAAATATATTAAACTATTAAAATATATTAAACTATTAAAATATACAGGAAAATACAATCAAACAAATGAAGAAAATGAATAAAATTTCTCAAGACCTGAAAAAGGAAATAGAAGCAAAAAAAAAAAAAAAACAAAAACAAAAAAAAAAAAAACAAAACACACACACACACACACACACAAACTGAGGGAATCCTGGAGATGGAAAACCTAGAGAAGAGACCAGGAACTACAGATGCAAGAATCAACAACAGAATACAAGAGATAGAAGAGAGAATCTCAGGTGTAGACAATACAATTGAAGAAATCAATACACTAGAAAGAAAACATTAAATCTAAAAAGTTCCTGACATAAAACATCCAAGAAATCTAGGACACTGTGAAAAACCAAACCAAAAAATAATAGGAATATAACAAGACTTCTAGCTCTAAGTCCAGAGAATATTTTCAATATAGAAATATTTTTCAATGTTTCTATAATTTCAAAATTATAGAACAAAACTTTCCCAACCTAAAGAAAGAGCCTATAAGCATACGAGAAGCTTACAGAACACCAAATATACTATACAAGAAAAATACCCCTGCCACATAATAACTAAAACACAAAATATATAGAACAAAGAAAGAATATTAAAAGCAGCAAGAGGAAAAGGCCAAGTAATATATAAAGGCAGACCTACCAGAATTATACCCGACCTTCAACAGAGACTCTAAAAGCCAGGTGGGCCTGGGAAGATATATGGGAGACTCTAAGAGACCATAGTTGCCAGACAAAACTACTATATCCAGCAAAAATTTTTAATCATCATACATGCAGAAAACAAGATATTCTACAACAAAACAAAATATAATCAATATTCATCTACAAATACAGCCCTACAGAAGATACTAGAAGGAAAACTCCAGCCCAGAAACTTAACTCTACCCAAGAAAACATAGGCAATAAATAATCTCACAAAAGCAAAACCCAAAAAGAGGAAACAGACACAAACACACTTACTCTCTCTCTCTCCTACCACCAATATGAAAATAATAGAAATTAATAATCATTGATATTTTAATATTTCTCAACATCAATGGACTAAATTCCCCAGTAAAAAGAAACAGCTGAACAGAATGGATGTGAAAACAGGATTGATCATTCTGCTGTATACAAGAAACATACCTCAACAACATAAACATTATTTCAGAGTAAAGGGCTAGAATAAGGTCCACCAAGCAAATGAACTCAAGAAGCAAACTGGAGCAGCAACTCTAATATCTAATAAAATAGACTTTCAACCGAAATTAATCAAAAGACATGGGTAAAAACACTTCATAACATCAAAAGAAAAATCCACCAAGATGATGTTTCAATTCTGAATATCTATACCTCAAATGAAAAGGCACCCACATTCATAAAAGAAACATTATTAAAGCATAAATCACACATCAAACCCCACACGTTAATAGCGGGAAACTTCAAGTCCCCACTCTCACCAATAAACTGGTCATCCCCACAGAAACTAAACAGAGAAATAATGAAACTAGCAGATATTATTTATCAAATGGACCTAACATCTATAGAACATTTCACCCAAACACAAAATATACCTTCTTCTCACCATGGGACCTTCTCCAAAATTGTTTACATAGTTGGTCACAAGCCTCAATAGATACAAGAAATTTGAAATAACCCCCTGTATCTTATCAGATCACCATTGACTAAAGCTCGACTTCAACAACAACAAAAACAACAGAAAGCTTACAAATTCATGGAAACTGAACAACTCTCTAGTCAATGGCCAGGGAAGAAATAAATAAAGAAATTAAAGACTTCCTAGAATTCAATGAAAATGAAGGCACAATATATGGGACACAATGAAAGCAGTGATAAGAGGAAATCTCATAGCACTAAGTGCCTGCATAAAGACAGTGGAGAGATCTGATACCAGTTATTTAACAGCATACCTGAAAGCTCTATAACAACAAGAAAGAAACACAGCTGGGTGGTGGTAGTGCATGCCTTTAATCCCAGGACTCAGGAGGCAGAGGCAGGCATATCTCTGAGTCTGAAGCCAGCCTGATCTACAGAGCAAGTTCCCTGACAGCCATGGCTAAGTAGAGAAATATTGTTTCAAATAACAAAAACAAGAAGCAAACACACCCAAAAGGAGTACATGGCAGGAAATAATTAGCTCAGAGCTGAAATCAATAAATTAGAAACAAAGAATCAACAAAACCAAGATTGGTTCTTTGAAAATATCAACAACATAGACAAACCCCTAGGCAAAGTAACTAAAAGGCAGAGACAATACCCAAATTAACAAAATCAGAAATAAAAAGGACATAACAAAAGATTTTAAATGTAAGTCTTACTTCAAAAGCCTACACTCCACAAAATTGGAAAATCTAAATGAAATGAATGATTTTCTTAATAGATACCACTAAATTCAAGATCAAGTAAGCAATTTAAATAGACACATAACCCATAAAGAAATAGAAAGAGTCATTAAAAGTCTCCCAACCAAAATAAGCTCAGGACCAGATGGTTTTAGTGCAGAATTCTAGCAGACTTTGACAGGAGAGCTAATAAAAATACTCAAATTATTCCACAAAATATAAACAGAAGGAACACTGCCAAACTCATTCTAGGAGACACAGTCACCCTGATACCTAAACCACACAAATCCTCAACAAAGAAAGAGAATTTAAAACTAATTTCTCTTATGAACATTGATGCAATAATAATCAATAAAATACTTGCAACTTGAATCCAAGAACACAGCAAAAACATCATTCACTATTACCAAGGAGGCTTCATCCCAGGGATACAGGTCAGTTCAATATGTGAAAATCCATCAAGGTAATCCACTATATAAACAAACTGAAAGAAAAACAAGATGTGATTATCTCATTATAAGCTGAACAATTCTTTCACAAAATCCAGCACCCTTTCACGTTAAAAAGTCTTGGAGAGATCAGAGGTACAAGGAGCATACCTAAACACAATAAAGGCAATATACAGCAACCCAATAGCCAACATCAAGTTAAATGTATAGAAACTTAAAGCAATTCTACTAAAATCAAGGACAAAGACAAGGCTGTCCGCTCTCTCCATATTCTAGCTAGAACTTAAAGTTCTAGCTAGAGCAATAAAACAACGAAAGGAGATCAAAGAGATACAAATTGGAAAGGCAGAGTACTGCTTTTGCAGATAAGGTGATAGTATACATAAGAAAACCCAAAATTTCTACCAAGGAACTCAACAACTGATAAACACCTTCAGGAAAGTGGCTGTATAAAAAAATTAACTCAAAAAAAAAAATCAGTAGCCCTCCTGTATATAAAAGACAAACAGGCTGAGTAAGAAAATAGGGAAACAACATCATTCACAACAGCCATAAATAATATAAAATATCTTGGTGTAACTCTAACCAAGCAAGTGAAAAACCTGTATGACAAGAATTTCAAGTCTCTGATGAAAGAAACTGAAGAAGTCAGAAGATGGTAAGATTTCCTTGCTCATGGAACTCTATAATTAACACAGTAAAAATGGCCATCTTACCAAAAGCAATCTACTGATTCAATGCAATTCCTATAAAATTCTAACACAATTCTTTACATACCTTGAAATAACAATTCTCAACTTCATATGGAAAAAAATAACAGAATAGGTTAAACAATACTATACAATAAAAGAACTTCTGAGGGATCTCCATCCCTGGCTTCAAGCTGTACAGATCAATAGTAATACAAACAGTATTGTATTAGTATAAAATAGACAAGTTGAACAATGAAATTGAATTGAAGTCCCAGAAATAAATCCACACCCTACACACACTTGATTTTTGACAAAGAAGCCAAAAGCATATAATGAAAAAAAGAAAGCATTGTCAACAAATGGTGCTGATTTAACTGGATGTCTCCATGCAAAAGAATGTAAATGGATCTATATTTTCCACCCTGTACAAAACTCAAGTCGAAGTGGAGCAAAGACCTCAACATAAAACTGGATACACTAATTCTATTAGAAGAGAAAGTGGGGGAAGAGCCTTGAACTCATTGGCACAGGAGACCACTCCCTAAATAGAACATCAATAGCCCAGGCACTGAGATCAACAATTAATAAATGGAACCTCATGAAACTAAAAAGCTTCTGTAAGGCAAAAAACACCATCATAGGGGGAAAAAAGCCTACAAAATGGAAAAGATCTTCATCAGCCCTACATTCAACAGAGGGTTAATATCCGAAATATATAGAGAACTCAAGAAATTAAACACCAACAAACCAAATGACCCAATTAAAAAATGTGATACAGAGCTAAACAGAGAATTCTCAATAGAGGAATCTGTAATGGTCAAAAAGCACTTAAAGAAATGTTCAACGTCCTTAGTCATCAGGGAAATGCAAATCAAAATGAGATTCCACCTTACACCACTCAGAATGGCTAAGATCAAAAACTCAAGTGACAACACATGCTGGCAAGGATGTGGAGCAAGGGAAACATTCCACATTTATAAGTAGATAATATACCACATTTTCTTTATTCTTCAGTTGAGGGACATCCTGGTCCAGAGGGGAGGAGAAAGGAGAGAATGAGAGGACAGATCCAAGGAGAGGCCTGGAAAACATCAGGAGAAATGACATATAACTAAATAACATATAACTAAAAAGCAAGCATAATGTGGGAAATCTGAATGGGAGGACTTGAGGACTTGAAGGTTTAGGATGGAGTAATTATTACCCAGCACTGTGCTCTAGGTTAATTAAACAAATCCTAGTGTCTGGGTGGTGATTTAGGCATACAGCTGGTTTAGGAATAACTGCTAAAAGATAAATCAATATTAAATATTAAAAACCATCAACAGTTATGCAAAAACAGAAAACAAATGTGTTATGTCCTTTAAGTACAGCACAAAAAAAACCACCTCATTCCACTGCTGCCGACATCTCTTGACCATTTGTAAAACTTCCAAACATCAAAATTCACTCAAAAGTCCCATTCTGCCACTCTTGTGGACCACTGAAACATACAACCATGTTCTGTATTATATAGTATATACAGAATAATAAAAAGCACAAGGGTAATCAACATTACATTTATATTTATCATCTACATTACATTATTTGGATTATGAAAACAAAGTTTCAAAAGAGAAAGATATTTCTGGAAAAGAAAATACAGCAAGTGGCACTATATATTACTATAAATTATTGAAGTAAGAAATATGCTTTGTGTGTTTGTTTTGTTTTTGTTTTTGTCTGATGAGTCATATTGGTTTTTTAGCCTAGGTTAGCCTTGAGCTTGCAATGCTGGGGTTAAGAATGTTTGCCCCTGCATCTGGTTAAGGAAACAGGATTGTCATTAATAGGCCAATTGTAACATGAGAAACACACCTGTGCTTCCGATATATTGTAGTGTGCTGGACCTGGAGCTCCTTTTCCAACAACATATGTACTTTTTCTGGAACTTAAAGACAGAAATGGTGCATAGGAACCTACAAAAACACACACACACACACCATTGATACATAACATTAGATCAAAAGACTTCTGAAAAAATATTGTCAGAACATATATAATCATTTAGTACCCTCAGGATTAAGACTATATTTTCAGAACTAATAGCTATTCATACAAGTTCTAGCATTCTTAAATTTTTCATGTAAGATCACAATTTTTATTAATATCCATTAAATAAAAGACCTTATAGGAGGAAATTTACGAAACAGGAAAAATATTCTGTCTATGTCTCTATCCTCTGTCTCTATCGTGTGTGTGTGTGTGTGTGTGTGTGTGTGTGTCTTTGAACCCATATGTGTGCATATGTTCATCTATGTATGCTGACTTGTACATAAGTGTATGAAAGCCAGAAATCAACATTAAGTGTCTTGTCCCATCATTCTCCAGTTTATTCTTTGGAACAGGGTCTCTCAGTGGTTCTGGGGCCAAACCCTGGCTATCAACTCAGATCCTGGTGCTCATGCATCAAGCACCTTAGCCCCTGAGCCATTCCCCAGCCTTTGTTCTTCTCTAATCATATGTGACAGTTATATTTAGCTGATAAAATACCTTATCTGCAGGGGACTGCTGTCTTGTAATTTTAAATAGCAAGTATTGTATGTGTGTGTGTGCATATCTAAGCTTATAGATGGTGCTAAAGATGTGTTTCAGCAACACAAAACCCAACTGGGATGGACAAAACACAAAAAACAAACAAAAATTAGAGAGACAACCAAGGTGGAGAAAATTTAAACCAGGATAATAGCAGGTTATTGAAAATAATATGGCACATAATTGGTGTTCCGTAAATATTTCTTGGTTGTCTAATTCTAAACAAAAGTTTACAAATCCATGAATATAGGCAATCACTGTACTAGGCAAATTTTGATAGCAAATTTGGGTAGCCTACTCAATCCATTTTAAGAAGGTAAAAAGACTTCATAATATCCCCATTATTCATATATTGATGTTACAGTATATAGCAAATATGTGTGGTTTTAAACCATGTATATAAAAGAAATGGGCAATGAAAAAGAAAGCTGGTATTCATAAAATATTCACTGGAATTTTCCAAAATTTATCACGAAATAAGTCACTCTTAATGAGCTCAAGTACACATGTAGTCATAAGTACAAAAAAAAACTACAAGAAAATGAAAAACGATGTAATGATAATTTCCACATAGAAAGGTCCTCTTCTCTTTTATTTGTAGCTGTATAGTAATGTTTACTTGTTTCTCATAATTTCCAACTATCCTAATTTCCCCAAATGTGGGACTGCAAATGCTAAAACTAGAATAGTTCCATACAACCAGGATGATTGATGACTTTATCATAATATTCTGCACAATCAACAATAAAGAATAACTGGTATTCAACATTACACATTTAGTTAGACATTCAAAAATACTCAATATTTTATTACGCATACTGTTAAGCCTGCATGATAAGAAAGTACAATAATAAGACAAAAATCTGGCATCAGATGATTAGGTAAAGAGACAATGATATGACTATCTCTGCTGCCAATGTCTAAGGTATGAATAAGGAAGACAGTTCTAGGGAACTCACATTAGTAGAGTTTGACCTTGGGTAGATTAGACAAACTGACATATGAAGTTGCAACCTAAATCAAACTCAAAGAAAGGAGAAATTATGAACATGGAAGAAAATATTTGAAAGGAATGAATTCAGTTTTGGATATATTGAGTTTGATGTGCCAAAAGAAAAAGATAAATCAAACTGACACAAAGCAATAAAAGTCCATTCTACAAGAAAAAGTGTCCATTATGTGATTAAAAGACAAGTTATGCAGCCACAATGACAGCCACAAAGCAAAGGGCAATCTTCACATATAAAACAACTAGGTCACTGAAAAAGGCATGCATCTGGAGGACATCAATCTATACAGTAATCACATAAACAGTAATTATTTAAACATATATATCAAGTGCACTCCATAATGTGGATTCCCCATATTCTAACTTGATAGTAAAATCACCCTTGTTTGTATACACATCAAGAGACCCACAGACTATCCTCCTTCCACCCTGCTCTGGTGGTGGATAAACCTTCCCCTTCAAAGAAGAGATCTAGAAAAGAAAATATTTAGGAAATGATACTGACTGGCTTAGATAGCTAATGTATATTCCATATAGACAACTAGCAGAGATCTAATGTTGGGTGCTGCTTATTTTGTAATTACATTTAAAAAGCAATGAAATACTCCTAATGCCATACCTGGATAAACACCTATTTAAAAAAAAAAAAGTTTTCTTGTATGATAAGATGGGGGGTGGCTGCTTTCTCTAGGAAATTTTGCTTTGAGAAAACATGCTTCCCTCTCAGATTAGTTGTGAGAAAACAAGATCTTTCATTGAAATAAGCATGCATATATCTGCACAGCACACTGAGCTACCTATTATAAACATGCATGAAACAGCATGGTAGCTGCTTTTAAGTTATCTTGCCAAGAAATCTAGCAGAAAAATGGACAGAAACACCTGTTCCATAATTATAAACATGTTGTCCTGAGTAGCATTTAAAGAAAAAAAAAAAATCTCAGAGTTCCAGAGCACAGAATTACAGATTTTCTTATTTTATTTCAAAGGTAAACAAAGTGTAATCCCTTAAATTAGCATAGGGGACTGGCTTCATCCTACACATTACCCTCTATTTAGCAAAAGCCATAGGATTTGAGGAAAGCATTGTGTGTGAGTGTGTGTGTGTCTCTGTGTGTGTACCCAAGTCATCAAGTTGAGCAGCAGGTGCCTCTACCCACTGAGCCATCTCATCCACCCTAAAGGAACTTTTAATGTAGTTCATTAGTTTATACTTTCCCACAGAATATTTGTCACTGAGAAGTTTGTGTTATTGGGTTGAAAACTAAGAATGGAGTAAATATCATGATACCTGCTCCCAAGTAGTTCACATTTTAGTGGATTTTCACATATATTAACAGTAATTAGAGAATCAAATTGGTAGGAAAAAAAAAAAAAAGTCATCGTAAGCCAGAGGGAGAAACGCATAAGTCTAGTGAGAGGATTTTATTTCAACTTAATATCAAGGACAACCCAGGAGCATAGAACATATTAGGCAGATGTATTAGCAGGTACAAAAGCACATAGGTGACAGAGGATGATCTTAAGAAATCATCAAGCTAGAATGGCTGAAGTATAGGTCAAGTAGAGAAGCATGTACAGGTGTTTAGAAAGATCAGATTAAATGGAACACCAGACCAAGGATAAGGACACAAAGAATTCTATTCCCATTGAAGTGTTCAGCTTTTTAACCCTAGGAAGCCAGAGTTTAAAGCTTCCCTTACTAGCCACGCAGAGATGTCATAAAAGTGACTAACAATGCTACAAACTTAAGACGGTAGAAAACTTATCTGAGATGTAAACCATTTCTATTTCTATAAAGATTTTCATTGGATGTGACTGAATATAAATAGTAATTGAAGTTATAGTTATGCAACAAGATGAAAAGTTAAGTATCTTTTAAAGTCATTCATGATTGGTAGGACAGAAAATTATTCCTTGCTTCAGTGTTGAATCATGTATCAGGAAAAAGAACCAGAAGAAAGCAATGAAGGAAGTGGTCAGCTGTACCAAAATAAAGGATACAAAAGCGTTAGAGGTGTGAAAAAACATCATAGGCATGCCCTTTGTAGGTGACCACTGATAAATACTAAAATGTTGGGGAATAAATGCTTATAACAGCTCAACCATAATTGGTATGTGTTCCAAAAATGCTAAGAATGATACTGAAAAGCAGCAAAATTCGAGATCTGAAACAAAGACAGATAACGAATTTTACCATGTCCTGAGAAACTTAAGGCAATTGTAATTTGAATAGGGATGTAAACAGAATACTTATTCCTGGACCTTTAAGAGATAAAAATGGCATTTTATATCTACTGCAGAAAACACTATATATCTACAAAAGAAAACACTATGATTTAGATAGTATTAAATTCAAAAAAAAATCAGAACGTTAATGGCAGAAAGGAAATTAGATTTATTTATTAAAAGTTAGGACTAATTCACGAACTAAAAAAAATAAAATAAGGAAAGCAAATAACTACTTAAAACATCAGTTCCTGGGCCACCTCTCAAGAATATAACTTTTTATAGAATGTAGAAAGTGTTTTTCAGTAAGTATCAAGACAGAAATGGTCAGATAATTTCACTGTGGGGGTTGGGGAGGCGCTATCTGTAAGTGACAACACAAAACAGAAATGTAAAAAATTAAGCATAGTTAAGGAAATCTGATTAATGTTTGTGGCCACCGTAAGACTAGAATCGGCAGAACCAAGTCCGCAAACTTGGATTTCATACAATCAGCTGAGGCAAGGAATCAAAATCCTAGCTCTAGTGTTCTCTCTGCCTACTTCATGTTTTGTTAAGGTTCTGAAACGTGGTGCTTTTGACGTTGTGTTTAACTCGTACGGGCAGGCTGAAGGCGGGACGCCTGTCAGGAAGCTGGCCGACAGCATCTTACCTTTGGCCCTCTCAGGGAAAGGTACCTGGTAGGACCCCGGACCCACGTGCGCCTCAGTGCAGCCACGCTGGGCCAACCTGAGCACGCGGGGAGCACGGTCATACATAGTGAGGACGGGTGGAGCTCACGGGATCAACACTAGGCGGGCGCTCGCATCCGAGGCCTGCGCCGTCTGAACCCCGGGAGCTGGCGTGCGAGCCCGGAGCTGACTGGCTCATTGGCGTCAGCTTCCCCGGGGTCCCTGGCGGGGAGGCAGACAGAGTGCCGAGCGGCCAGAAGCCCCGCCTCCCAGCCAGCGCCTGTTAGTCCTCCAGCGCTGCTCTACAGGAAAGACAAGGCCTCGAGAGCTTCCGGCTCTGGCTCCGCCCACTCCCCTCCGCCCGGAAGCCTTGAAAGGACGGCGGCTGGACTCCGGCCGGAAGATGCCATCCCTCGGAGCATTTCTGGCCGGGTGCTCAGCGGTGCAGCACCTGTCGCAGCACTTCTGCTCAACTGCACGATTGCTTCCTGTTCCGGACTCCTTTCGCTGGGCTTTGAGAAGCCCTAAAAACGCGTTACAAGGAGGCGAATTAATTTAACCCTGATTTGCTCTCTCTATAAATCAGGGTGACCGGAAAGAGATAGGGGAAAAAAGTAGGAAAAGTCGGGAACCGGAAGCAGGTTTGGCATCAGCAAGGTTTCCGTTCACTCGTGCCACACACGCGTCCTCGGAACGAAGTCACTCCTGATTCTGACCTGCAGGCAATCAAAACTTACGAAGGAAACCCGGGAGCGCGGAGGGTTGGGGGGTGGGTGATGACAATAAATGGGGTACAAGGAAAAGGTGAAAAGCGTGCCTACTGAAGCAAATTTAAGAGCAGGGGCTGAAAACTGCTTCTGCTGTTGAATACTGATAAATGGCAGCATGAGCTATACAGTAAAATGAACGCATTGAAAAAAGCCCATGCCACACTCATTGAGCCAGTTAACCTTCAGCAACAGGTGCTGGAAAGTATGAGTCCACCTCCAAGCGCATTCAGCTGTTTTTCCATTAAGAAATCTACACAGCTTCCAAGCATCCTTAAAGGCTTAGAACAATAGCTCTCAACCTTCCTAATACAGCAACCTTTTAATACAATTTCTCATGTCAAACAGTTTTAAGGTTGTGACACCCAACCATAAAATTATTTTTGTTGCTACTTCATAGCTGTAGTTTTACTACTCCTGTGAATCGTAATGTAAGTATATTTGGAGATAGAAGTTTGCCAATGGGTTCATCACCCACAGATTGCGGACTATTGTCTTAGGCAATCATTCCATGGATGCACCTTACCCACAGAAGAACGATAGTGCCTTAGTTTGTCCCTAATACTAACTTTAGCGTATTTAAATTCTGTAATTCTTAGTTTGCTACTTAGTTCTGTGTATTATAGACTAGATTAATTGTACCTTCTCTGTTGAAATACTCTATAAAAGTGAGAGCTTCCTAAGAATGAATCTCTTGATACCTTCCTTCCTTCTAGTAAACGGCTGGTTGAATCGTTTACTTACTTGAAGAGTGCTAATTGGCAAGTGTATAGTTCCCTTATTCTCCTAAGTTAACTGTCACTGGGTGTTCCCCTAAGGGGTAAAAACATGAATAACCCAAGAAGTAGCGAGCAAGAAATACAAAATGATAAGAGAATAGTACAGCATTTGGGAACCTTCTTTGTAATGAATTGTTAAAGTTTCTTGTTGGCATTAGTGCTTCCTACATTTTTTAAATTGATTTTTTTTTAATTTACTCACTTTATATCCCAATTGGACCCCTTTCTTCATCTCTTCTTGGTCCCACCCTTCCTCCCTCTTCCCCACCCCCCATTACCCTCCAGTAGTTCTCAGAAAGGGAGAACCCTCCTCCCCTACCAACTAACCCCAGCCTATCAAGTCTCATCAGGACTGCCTGCATCCTCTTCCTCTGTGACCTGGCAAGGATGCCCCACTAAGGGGAAGTAATCAAAGAGCAGACAACAGAGTCCATGTCAGAGACAGCCCCTACTCCCCTTACTAGGAAACCCATGTTGTGCCAGGTTCACAGGACCCTCAGAGACCACCAGGAGATTACTCGATGCAATTGCAAGAGAGCTTTATTACGAGAGCGATTGAACTCGGGACCCAAGTCTCACTGGCGCAGCAGTAGAGAAGTGGGATCCCGAGCTCTGAATGACCAGGATTTTTAAAGGGAAAGTCTGTGAGCCGGGGGTTTCCATGGCAGCAAGCAGGGGGGCACAAGCCTTGGCGTTACAGAATTGGGTGAAGTTTAGCAGGGCGGGGTGACCTTTTCTGAGGCACATAATCACAATGGCTAAGGCATATAATCACAATGGCTATTTTTCTAAACCATATCTGAAACATTGGGGAGAATTTTCCCACCCGATTCTCAACCGATTCCCATTGATTATTGCCATGGAGTTTGTCTCTATTTTCTATGAAGCATTTATTCTGTTATATTTCCTGGAGGCTGTTGCTAGGAGGGTTAACTTTGTTTTCTGCCAGGTGTACATTCTGTGATATTTCCTGGTACCTGAATTCAGTTCCCAGTCAAGATCTTTATTTCAAAATGGAGTTATATTCAGGCTATCTTAAGCTCTTCACCCACATAGAGAGTGAACTGCCTATTGGCTATATCTGAGCAGGAGGTCTAAGTCCTCTCTATGCATGGTTCTTGGTTGGTACATCAGTCTCTGTAGGGGACCCTGGGCCCAGATTTACTGGCTCTGTTGGTTTCCTTGTGGACCTCCTGTCTCCTCCAGGTCTTTCTATCCCCCTACACACACTCTCCCCATTCATGTTAGAAGTCTTGGAGAGATACAAGACACAAAGTTAAGCATAGAAAAGGCAAGATACAGCATGCCTATAGCCAATATCAAACTAATTGGAGAGAAACATAAATCAATCCCACAGAAATCAGGGACAAGACAAGGCTGCCTACTCTGTCCATATCTCTTCAATATAGTATTTGAAGACCTCACTAGAGTAATAAGATAGCTAAAGGAGATCAAGGAGATATGTATTGGAAAGGAAAAACTCAAAGTCACTATTCTTGGATAGAAGAGTGACCCCAAAAATTCTACCAGAAACTCCTGTAGTGATAAAAAAAACTTCTGCAAAGTGGCTGGATACAAAAATTAAATAAAAAATATCAATAGCCCTCCTAAATACAAAAGACAAATGGAATAAGAAAGAAATTAGTGAAACGGCACCCTTCACAATAGCAAAACAAACAAAAAATTTTCCTACATCCTATATTCTTATAAAACCTGTAATAAGTAGCTGGGAAGTAGTGGCACACGCCTTTAATTCTAGCACTCAGGAGGCAGAGAACTCAGCACTCCAGAGGTCCTGAGTTCAATTCCCAGAAAACACATGGTGGCTCACAACCATCTATAAAGAGATCTGGTGCCCTCTGCTGGCATGCAGGCATACATGCGAATAGAGCACTCATACACATAAATAAATAAACCTTAAAGAAATAAATTTGAAATGTAAACATAATAGTTCTCTCAATATTAAAGCAACCTCATTTATTCAGTTTAGAGCATCTAGAATGAATTTACCATGGCATACTAGGAAGAGTAACAAATAAAGGAGGAAATACTGTGTCATTAAAAGTGGTGTTTCCAAAAACAGCATCTTCAACAAATGATGTTGGTCTAACTTGATGTCTACATGTGGAAAAATGCAAATAGATCCATATTTATCACCCTGCACAAAACTAAAGTCCAAGTAGATCAAAGACCTTAACATAAAACCAGACACACTAATTCTGTTAGAAGAAAAAGTGGGAAAGCCTTGAACTCATTGGCACAGGAGACAACTTCCTGAACAGAACACCAACAGCACAGGCTCTAAGAGCAATGATCAATAAATGGGACCTCATGAAACTGAAAACCTTCTGTAAAGGACACTATCTTCAGAACAAAACGACAAGCTACAGACTGGGAAAGAATCTTCACCAACCCTATGTCTGACAGAGAGCTAATATCCAGAATATATAAAGAAATCAAGAAGTTAAAAAGCAACAAATCAAATAATCCAATTAAAAAATGGGATACGAAGCTAAACAGAGAATTCTCAATAGAGGAATGTCGGATGGCAGAGAAACATTTAAAGAAATGTTCAACATCCTTAGTCATCAAGGAAATGCAAATCAAAACTACCATGAGATTTCACCTTACATCCATCAGAATGGCTAAGATCAAAAACTCAAGTGACAACATTATGCTGCAGAGGATGTGGAGAAAGGGGAACCCTCCTCCATTGCTAGAGGGACTATAAACTTGTACAACCACTTTGGAAATCAATCTGGTACTTTCTCAGACAATCAGCAATAGTTCTTCCTCAAGAACTAGCTATAACACGCCTAGGCATATATCTAAAATACGCTCAAGTATACAACAAGCACTTTTGCTCAACCATGTTCATAGCAGCTTTATTCATAATAGCCAGAACCTGGAAACAACCCAGATGTCCCTCAATTGAGGAATGTATACACAAATTGTGCTACATTTACCTAATGGAATACTACTCAGCAATTAAAAACAAGGAAATCATGAAATTTGCAGGCAAATAGTGAGAACTAGAAAAGATCATCCTAGGTGAGGTATCCCAGAAGCAGAAAGACATTCATGATAGATACTCACTTATAAATGGATATTAGACTTATAATATAGGATAAACATACTAAAATCTGTACACCTAAAGAAGCTAAGAAAGAAGGAGGACCCTGCGTAAAATATCAGTCCTCACTCAGAAAGGCAAACAGGACAGACATCGGAAGAGGGAGAAAAGAGGAAACAACAGGACAGGAGCCTAACACAGACTGAGTCTGAAAGCCTCTACTCAGCAAGGTATCAAAGCAGATGCAAAGACTCATAGCCAAACTTTGGGCAGAAGGCAGGGAATCTTATGAAAGAAGGGGGAGACAGAAAGACCTGGAGGGAACAGGAGCTCCACAAGGAGAGTAACAGAACCAAAAAATCTGGACAAAGGGTTTTTTTCTGAGACTGATAATCCAACCAAGGACCATGCATGGAGATAACCTAGAACCCCTGCTCAGATGTAGCCTATGGCAGCTCAGTGTCCAAG